TATGCAGTTTATTCTGCTCGTTATGATGTATTGTATTAAATGTGTGGAAATGAACATGTTGCAGCAATTAAGAAGTTCTCTTTTTCAGAAATAAAAAATCAGGGGGAATATCTGTTATACCTTAGAGAGTAAATAAATGATATTTCTGCCAATGAAACGCCTGCTGTATTCCCAATGCTTTGAGACACAGTAAAAATTGACTGAAAGACAACAGGAAGAAGCTTGACCATCCGCAAAGTATGCACCTATAAAAATAAACATCTGTATCCCCAATTGGAGAAATACTCCCTTGTCCTTATATCTGAATGTTGTATTACTTAACCCCTCCTCTGCATACCAGAATTGTAATGATCTGATACTGTAAACAGATTTATATAAGCTTACCTACTACATCCCTTTATATATATAAAGAATGAGGAGTAAACTTTAGGGTATCATTCGTAACCATTTTTACTCAAATTATATATTATTTTAAGGAGGAGAAATAAGATTGTAAAATTATTTTTCCCAGGGGGAGGGAAGACACCCTGGGGGGGAACCCACTTTTTTTTCTTTTGCTATGCATACAAATATACATATGGATTCCTAATATGACCAAATTTTAAATATTTAATATTAAAGGAGAGCAAGCTACTTGATATATGTACAGTACAGATTGTTGTATGTCTACATCGGGCTGTTACCACCATTGTGCTCATATTGTGGGAATGTCAGATCTGCCACCTTCAACTTTATGCTGTGCTAGCATCCTGCCATAAATCGTTCGGGGGGGGGGGGAGAGGAAATAGGCAATTGGCATGTAGTGGGTAGACATTAGCAAAGGGAGGGGTGGCAGGCATGAATGAAGCCAGAGGTATTCCAGTCTTCAAGGTCGGGGAGCCTGGGAAAAGAATGCGAATTGCACCAAACATCCGAACCGTTCCCAAAACACTTATGCCACAGCCCATTGGATGAATACAGACTGGTCAAGGGGGGAGGGCCAGGGAGCAAAGGGAATTTTGTACGGAAAACTTTGTGTGGGAAACTTTAGTTCTAGCCTTGCTTTTGCTGCAACCACTAATCCCTAGTAAAAGAACCTATCACTTCAACCAAACGGAGTCGAGGGTCTTTCTTTCCTAGGGACCTGGCTAGGGCAGGTCTGACAGGGGGACTGGTTGTCTACCACACTCTCCAGCAGGAGAAGGCATAAACCTGAAGATGCAAATTCCAAATTCTGAAAGGTAAAAAGGTTTAGGCTCAGAATGTTGATTTGCTTTGAAGCCAATTGATTATTGTTAAATCAGAGATTCTGGAAAGGATGCAAGTTTGGTAAGATGTCACCTATAGGTGTGGCATATTCTTCAGTTCACATTCTGAAGCAGGTTGAATCAGGGTCACTGTATGAGCATCCCAACTTAACAGCTCATTGTTTCTGCAGATGGCACTACCTGGTCAACCTTAAAAACCGATCAGTCCTAGAGGAGATCAACTCTGACTGCTCTTTAGAAGGCCAGATCCTGAAGTTGAAACTCAAGTACTTTGGCCACCTAATGAGAAGGAAGGACTCACTGGAGAAGAGCCTGATGCTGGGAAAGATTGAGGGCAATAGAAGAAGGGGACTACAGGGAATGAGGTGGCTGGATGGAGTCACTGAAGCAGTAGGCGTGAGCTTACATGGACTCCAGAAGATGGTAGAGGACAGGAAGGCCTGGAGGAACGTTGTCCATGGGGTCGCGATGGGTCGGACACGACTTCTCAACTAACAACAAAAAGAAGAAGATAAACTGAGGAGTAGAAAAAACATTCTTAAAAAAAATGTAATTGTGGGCCTGTCTCTGAAGTTACCAGAAGCTGAGACTTATTCAAAGGAGAATTTCCATTCTATTGTGCAAAGTCCAGTCTATTTAGTTTAGCACAGGGTTGCGTTACCCACCAACTGTAAGTTGTAACATTTTGTTTCTGCATCCCAAACAATTTGAATCTGTATCAAGAATATTTTGTTGACAAGCTTCCTTCCTTCCTTCCTTCCTTCCTTCCTTCCTTCCTTCCTTCCTTCCTTCCTTCCTTCCTTCCTTCCTCCCTCCCTCCCTCCCTCCCTCCCTCCCTCTTGGAGGAGAAAAATCCTCTAGTGGAGAAACTGTTCCAGTTTTCCAGTTTCAGCCTTAAAAGTTCACCAAAACACACCTATTTGAGGGCCAGTTTTAGCTTATTTTGTTCACTTGGGGAGGATTTAAGGGTAAACATGAGCGAAAATGCCAAATTCCCTTCCCACCTTAAAAATCCAGAAAATAAGAGATTTGGGCTTTTCAGGTGAGTTGCATGCTTAATTCCTATTTAATGTTATGTATGCTTGAAAGACATGGATACGCTTAGAGGGGTGCATGGCTGGTAGTCGATTAAGCCAAGGTGCACCAACAGATACAGTCACAGACGCCATCTTGACTTTTTTGAACTTCTTCTGGCAGATGCTGTCCTAAATAGAGGGAGGGGTCATTAAATAGGAATGGCATTAAGCGAGTAGCCTTCAGCAGCTCCAGGTTTTCGCTTCTCACTTTCATCCCCATGCTACCTTTTCAAGAGGCAATTGGACTTTCTTTGTTTTACCTTGAAGATGTTTTGCTTCACATCCAAGAAACTTCTTCAGTTCTTCTCCTTCCAAAGCTTCTTGGATGAGAAGTGAAACATTTTCAACGAAAAACAAAGAAAGCCCAGTTGCCTCTTGAAAAAACACCTTTGGGACAAATATGACCTGGATGACTGAGCATTTCCATAGACCAGGGGTAGGCCACCTTGGCTCTTTTATGACTCGTGGACTTCAACTCCCAGAATTCCTGAGCCAGCATGGAAACCTCTCCCTTTCCCCTCAGCATGGCTGGCTCAGGAATTCTGGGAGTTGAAGTCCACGAGTCATAAAAGAGCCAAGGTTACCTACCCCTGCCATAGACATTTCTCACGTTCATGTTATAGATTTCAACTCCCTGTTCAAGCACGCACCCCTAATACTTTGAAAGGAGTAGCGCCAACAGAATGAAGGTTTCTCCGTACAAAGAACACTTTGATGTATCAACATCATTCCAGAACATGATTGTTAGCTCTTCCGTTAGCAGTTTGTCCTTTTTTATTTTGAAGAGCATAATGGTCAGAATTAAAATTCATCACTTCCCTTCCGACCACACAAAAATGTCATAAATTGAAGCAATAAATTTCCGCTATGCGTTGCTGTGAAATTAACACTTATATATGGGAAATAAAACTGAAAATTTATAGTGGCAATCAATCTGCTTTAATGTATGTAACTTCATCATCTGTTTTATTTACTTTCTTCCCTGCTCTTCCCCTTCCCTAACAAAACCCCTTTTTTCAGGAACTGCAAAATTGAAAGGCAAAATGGCTTGTTATGAATGATATTCTAGCCATTGCAAAAAATGCCACATTACAAGAACATTAAGGGATGTAAGGCTACTGATTAATGAAGACTGCATGAAGGTGGAAAAAATATCATTTCCACGTGAGTAACGGCTGGGGGCATAAGCATCGAAGCTTAAGATCTATAATATATCAATAATATATTTAAGGGCGCCTTTTCTAAACTCACACTCTCCAGTGATACTGAAAATGTTCAATTTCCACAGCTGGAAGGCACAACATTTGGACAAAGCTACATATGGAATTTACATGGCCGGAATTTCAGTACAAAGGGAAGCCGCATACATATAAAGATTAAAACAGTGCTGGAACTACCTAAATACTAGCAAATATAATAAAATCTATTTGTATGAGAAGGGAGTTCATAACCCATTATCAAGGAAACATACTATAATCTAATAAAGGAGAATATTTGTAGCTCAGGGTTGAAACGAGGGGTCCCTGGTGCTCTCTGAGCTTGCTTGTTTTCTTGCAGACGTTTCATTACCCAAACTAGGTAACATCATCAGTGCTATCTAGTTTGGGTAATGAAACGTCTACAACAGTGGTTCTCAACCTTTTTAATGCCGTGACCCCCAACCAGTCATAAGTCGAGGACTACCCAACCGGTCGTAAGTCAAGGACTACCCAACCAGTCATAAGTCGAGGACTTTTCCTGCCCGAGAGCACCACGTATGCATGGTGCCGCCCCTTGCGCTGGCCAAGGTGTAGCTGGCAAGTGGCAGAGACGGCACAGGCCGACCACCGGCTGGGCCACCAGCTGGCCCAGCCCAAGGGAGGTAAGGCACCTGCCAGGCCCCACGCATGCCAGCAACCCTCCCTGCGCTCGTCGGCCTCCCACCTCCCACCCCTGGCCCTCTTTTACTTACATTTTTAGTACTTGCTCAGCAAGGAGGGGTGGAAACTTCCAGACAGCTCGCCTTCGCTGCAGACAACTTGCAGCACCGTTTGCAGAATGGGACTTTTGGCGGGTTCAGCAGGGCAGAGACAGCCTGTACAATTCCTATTGACTTTTGAAAGCCAATAGAATTAGATTCTATTCAAGAGAGTCTATTCTATTGGCTTTCAAAAGCCAATAGAATAAAAGGGAGTAGCACAGCTAAGGAAAAGGGGAAAAAATGGCGGACTGCGTTGTTTGGTGACCCCCGTGAAATGGTCGTTCAACCCCAAATGGGGTCCCGACCCACAGGTTGAGAACCGCTGGTTTACAAGAAAAGTAAGCAAGCTCAGAGAACACCAAGGTCCCCTCGAAACACAGTCTTTAATTTGAAATAGCACACATTTAAAACGTTTATTTAATTCTACTTGCAAACTCTGAAATAATTACTAATGCATTTAGACCAGATTTTCTCAGAGGCGTTTACTCTTCATTTTTTCAATTTCTTCAAATATTCCTGAGTTTTGAAGTGCGGTCTGTGTGATAGAACCACCCAGAACATTTTATATATTTATATATCACTGATATTTGTTAATATTCCTTGCTTCGTGCTTTGTATGAAGGATTTTCTATATCTTCCGTACATATACATAATCAAATACTTATTAAAGCATTTCAAATATTGTAGGCAAGTATTTGGTTTCAGAAAATTACTGACCTTCACATTTCTGTTCTGAATTATGGTTTATTTGACCTAAAAATAGAATAGGATTTGTTTTACATATTTACATAGTTCAAATAACACCTTTTCTGAAGACAATTGTCACTGTATGTGATACCCCATAGAAACGAACAAAATAAGCCTCTGTTTTCAGACACTGGAATCCAGATTATAACCACGGGCAAACTGGCAAGTCTGAATTCATTTATTATGAAAGGCAATTTATTTTTACTTTGGTTTCTAAGATGAAAAAAATGACATTTCAGTTAAGAAGTGTTTTTAAGGGATATTTTATAGCACCTACAAGGATTATGTAGGTGCCCTTAGAAAACTCCAGCACAATCTGGTTTTAGGTTTAAGGAGTTTGCATATCATCTATAAAAGAAATAACATTTTTCTGTTCAAATCTGAATAAAAGCTCCATGCAGTTTTAAATGACAAGCTATGGTTTGGAAGTTTGGAAGAAAGCTGAAAGATTTGTTATGGCCAGTGCTTTATTCTAAGTGATGTTACTGCATTAAGAATGAAAATATGGGATACTGGTGCTCAAAGCCACAGTATGCCAGTTGGGAAACTCCAGCCACAATTTTGATCATTAAATAATGATGAGAAAATGATTGTTTGCTAAAGATGTCTACAATGAACCAAAAGAAGGGGAATGAAGACCGAGATAGAGTGATGAAGAAGGATGAAAAGAGATACAATAGATTTTAAATGTTGTCCATCTCTATGTATGGAAATAACTCAAGTGAATAATATGAACAATATATAATAGCTGTCCAATTTTTTAAAAAATCCAGAGGCTTCCAATCAAACCCATGCTTTTAACTGGAAGTAACCCTGTTATGTCTGTTACTGCATCCTGATATTTCTGCTACTTACACCATTGTAATAGTTTCACTAAAGTCATAGGTCTCTGTACAATGATTGCTCTGTAAATTACACAGTGACTGTGAATGTACAACATATGACCATGTTAGCAAGAGAACAGGCAAGGGCAATTACATCACTCAATAGCCAGCATTACACCATCCACTAAACCAGAGGCCCCCAACCTTTTGGGCACCAGGGACCACTTCCGTGGAGAGAGGTTTTTCCGCGGACTGGAGGGGGCGTGGTTTTGCATGCTGCCTGCATCCTGTGATGGCGCTTTGCTTGTTTGCGTGACCTGGTTTCTGCCATGCCGTGGACCGGTGGTGGTCCACAGACCGGGGGTTGGGGATCCCTGCACTAAACCCTAAATTGGGGTTAACAATATACAGGTAGTCCTCATCTTACAACAGTTCATTTAGTGACTATTCAAACTTACAATGGCACTGGAAAAAAGTGACATATGATCGTTTTTCACACTTACAACCGTTGCAGCATACCCATGGTCACAGGATCAAAATTCAGATGTTTGGCATCTGATTCATATTTATGATGGTTGCAATATCCTGGGATCATGTGATCCCCTTTTGCGACCTTCTGACAAGCAAAGTCAATGGGGAAGCCAGATTCACTTAACAATCATGTTACTAACTTAACAACTGCAGTGATTCACTTAACAACTGTGGCAAGAAAGGTCGGGGCAAAACTCACTTAACAAATATCTCACTTAGCAACAGAAATTTTGGGCTCAATTGTAGTCATATATCGAGGACTACCTGTATAATACACACGTACACATAACATGCTATGCTTACTAAAAGAAGCCATAATAACCTGATAGTTAAGAAAATATGTTTTTATGATATTCTGAACCACAAACTACCCCATGAATTAGATTCCAATGCTGTAAAATCAATAATTTTCCTTTAGAATCTCATACCAACCAATACAAAACCTGTTTTGGAGCCTGGATATTTGAAAAAAAGGACATACTTCTATTTGCCTTTCAATTATAAAGTCCGGTCAGAAAAGGCTGAACTTTTATTTAAAAGGCTTAAGCAAGGTTCATTTCAGGAAAAAAATGTTTTTCATGCAAAGATGTCTAATCGCATCACAGCAAAAAAGTTTTTCAGTCAGCTAAACATCAAATAAAGCAGATTTAGGTCCAGAACAATGCACCCAACAAATGTATATTTCATGTGATTTCCTGATTATTTTTTCACTTTTATGTATAATTAATTGGAAAACTTAATTTAACAATGACAAAGTAGGCACCAACATATCACCCAGTATTTCTATAGGTGACCATTATATATATGCCACAATCATTCCCATTAATGCGAGATGTTTGAATTAGTGTTATTCTTTCCTCAACACAAACAACAAATAGCACTATGACAAATTCAACTATAGTTTGAATAATAGAAATGTCAACACCTGTATGTGCATCAAGGGAAAAAACCTAATGCTAGATTAAATTGTCAAATTAAGAAATCCCTAGTTACGGACTGAAAAAATTGGCCAAATCTTCCCAAATTAGCATTGATGGGAAAATCTGAACCATGTACATAAAACAATTAATTGTTAATCAATTAATATTAGATGCAAACAACAAATACACCTGGAACTGCTTCAGTGGAAACATTTTCCATTGAAAAAAATATGGGGAACAATTCAGATCCGACAATAGCTCCATCTATGTTACAGCTTGCAAGCCAAGCTTCAGAAATATGTGTGAATCTGGCACATATTTTTGCGTCAACTTGTTTTAATGTTCCTGCTTCCTGAAAACTAACCACAAATAACCGTGAACCTTCTCTGAAGCAGAAGAAGAACAAAGACAGTTGAACGAAAAAATGTATATACGCAAACAAAACCTTCCACAACACCTATAAAGCAATTCTTGATAATGTGAAAAACAAGGAAGTATTTCCTACCGGTTTTGGTGTTGATGGCAAAAAAGTTTTGGGGGTTTCCACTTGTAATCCTGTATGTCAATTTTTCAGTCGTGCTGGAATCAGGATCTTGTGCTTGTATCTGAATGACTGAAACGTCCTTCGGCGAATTTTCCAAAACAGACGGATAATAAATGGGTTCGGAAGTCATGGGTGCATTGTCATTTACGTCTTCAATTTCAATGTAGACCTCAACGGTGGTATAAAGTGGAACAACTCCCCGATCTGCTGCATACACAGTTAGCCAATAGGACTGAGTAGTCTCTCGATCAAGGATATCACCTGTGTATATAACTCCTGCAGAAAGAAGAGAGAATATATATGTGGAATTGCAGAAAATAGCAATGAATATTTCAAAGGCATTTGTGATCAAACATTTTGGAAGCCATACAGGTAATCCTTGATTTATGGCTAATGGCTTAGCAACCATTTTAAAGTTACGACAGACCCCACAGCTATTTATAACCTGGTTTTAAAATTCTGAGACCCACCTCCTGGTGGTCATGATGTGATCACATTTTGGGCTCTTGGCAACCAGATTTACAATATTTCCTCCCCCACCCCCGAATCAGTTTACTTCTGGTTTTTAGCAAAAAGCACATATTGGGTATAATCGGTATAATTAACAATTGTGATGGTCGTTTAACAACCACTGCAGAGGTGCTGTCACACGAGGACCTGCTTAATGACTGTCAACAATGTATGTGTGTAATTTTAGTTGCAGGTCAAGGAATAGCAATAGAAATAGCACTTAGACTTGTATTGTGAAATTGGATGCTTGAATCCAGTTACTAAACTGATTATTTCAAATTGGTGTGCAAAATTGGACTTTACTGCAGTAAAAGGCAGGGGCCATTATCTCTTCTACGTCTGTGTTTTGCCCTGAGCATCTTTCTATCAGGCTAATCCACCAATCTCGCAGTGGAAGATTGTGTTCCTACTTAGTAAGAGTCTTCCTACTCCTACCATTTTTGTTCTAATTTTCAGCCCCAAAGACCTTCAGAATCATGGTTTGGAGACCCATGAATTATAAGTATCCCACAAGCCACCAATTGTTCACTTCTTATTTGAGCTAAAGATCAATATTTATCAGCCTCCCCAAATCTACTTCTACTAAATATCTTTTGTAACCCATCCTAATGCCTGAGCTAAGCTGTCAATTTCATCTTAAACTACTCTGGTCAAAATACTGTATATTCCACGTGAAACAGAAAACCCAATGACTTCTTCACAGTCTCTGATCACAAGATCCCTGATTCAAGTCTTAGATCACTGCATCAGTAACACGCAGGTCTGCAACTGGATTTGCACATCTGAAATAGTAGGTTGGGAAGACTTCCTGAGACAGAAGGAAGAGAATGGTCAGATAAGAGATAGCATAACCCTGAACTGTATAGTAGGTAAGGCAAGAGACTCGGCAGGGACCCTACTTGCTTTCTTGAACTTTTAAAGAGACAGTAAGAGAACTGTAATTTCAGACTTGCAAGATTCTGTTAATGTTGTTATTGTTCAGTAGCTACGCTGTGTCTGACTCTTTGCGACCCCGTGGACCACAGCACGCCAGGCTCCTCATCCTCCATGGCCTCCTTCTGTAAATGTAGCTTTACAGCAGTGTTTCTCAACTTTGACAATTTTAAGGCATGTGGACTTCAACTCCCAGAATTCCACAGCCAGCATTGCTGGCTGTGGAATTCTGGGACTTGAAGTCCACATGCCTTAAAATTGTCAAGGTTGAGAAACACTGCTTTACAGTATTTGTAAATGTCTCCTGTGTGGTCTATTTGGAAAGGCTGAAACCATCAGTGCAAAAACCTGGTTCTGAGAACTACAGCCTTAGCAGTAATATTTCCATAGCTGAAACCCCTTTCCCAAAGAGCAAATTTGTATTCCAATAAGACACACATATTTTAGCAGACCACATCGCCTTCTAACTTGGATATTCTCACCCAGCCACCCATAATGCTCAATCACTTCCATTCCCACCTAACTGCACATACTGTCTCCTTCCCATACACCACATCCACTTATAATCAACACACCAACACACTTTTGGCTTCTTCTCTTTCTCACCATGTGTCTTCTCTCTTTTATCTCCCCTACCCCAATTCCTGCCTTTTGTTTCAAAAACTCTTATGTTAGGGAAAAATACAAATGGGAATACAGATTTGGGTTTTTATGGGTCTCAAAAAAAAATCAGTTTAAAAAAAATAACATAATTGCCCAGAATATCCCTCTATGTCCCCAGTTAGAGCTGAATTGTAAAGTGAAGCACAGATTTTATTTTTTGGCATACAGGTAGTCCTTGACTTACAACTTCTCATTTAGTGACTGTTCTAAATGTTTCAACGGAAGTGAAAAAAGTGACTTAGGACCGTTTTTCACACTTATAACGGTTGTAGCATCCTTGCGGTCACGTGATCAAAAATCAGACGCTTGGCAACTGGGTCATATTTATGATGGTTGCAGTATCCTGGGATCATGTGATCATCTTTTGCCAACTGCTGACATGCAAAGCCAATTGGGAAGATTCCGTTAACAACTGTGTTACTAATTTAACTATTGCAGCAATTCACTTAACAACTGTTACCAGAAAGGTCGTAAAATGAGGCAACACTTAACAACTGTCTTGCTTAGCAACAGAAATCTGGGGCTCAACTGTGGTTGTCAGTAGAGAACTACCTGTATATCTCTGGAAAAACTCTACCGTGTTTATGTGCTTTACAAATACTCTGAAAAACAACAGAGTCCACTTGTATTTGATTCAGACACGGAGTCCTAATGGACAATCACTTAGATATGAGCCAGCAGTGTGCTGCAGCTGCCAAAAAAGCCAACAGAGTGCTAGACTGCATTAACAGAGGGATAGAATCAAGATCACGTGAAGTATTAATACCACTTTACAATGCCTTCGTAAGGCCAACTTGGAATACTGCATCCAGTTTTGGTCACAATATAAAAAAGATGTTGAGACTCTAGAAAGAGTACAGAGGAGAGCAACAAAGATGATTAGGGGACTGGAGGCTAAAGCATATAAGGAACGGCTGCTGGAATTGGGTATGTCTAGTTTAATGAAGAGAAGGACGAGGGGGGACATGATAGCAGTGTTCCAATATCTCAGGGGCTGCCACAAAGAAGAGGGAATCAAGCTATTTTCCAAAGTACCTGAAGGCAGGACAAGAAGCAACGGGTGGAAACTATTCAAGGAGAGAAGCAACCTAGAACTATGGAGAAACTTCCTGACAATTAGAATAATTAACCAGTGCCTCCAGAAGTGGTGAATGCTCTTAACACTGCAAGTTTTTAAGAGGAGACTGGATAGCCATTTGTCTGAAATGGTATAGGATTTCCTGCCTGAGCAGGGGGTTGGACTAGATCAGGGCTTTTCAACCAGTGGTACGGGTACTATCTGTGGTACATTGGCACCTGGCAGGTGGTACACGACCATCCTAGAAAAGTGGTAGCGGGGGAGGGGAATGAGCTGAACTGGTGGTAGCACCGCACAAGCCTGAGCGAGAGACGGCTGGAGCTGCAGGGCTGTCAGGGCTCAGCAGAAGCACCAGGATCAGTGCCGCTTTCCAGCTGATCGGCACTTCTTCGGGGCTGTCAGGGCTCAGTGGAAGCACCAGGATCAGTGCCAGGCTCTAGCTGGAGCTCAGCACTGATCCTGGCACTTCTGCTGAGCCCAGAAGAAGTGCCGATCAGCTGGAATGTTGCAGCATCTCCAGGGTCTTGTGATTTACATTCAGATGCTTGGCAATTGATTCATATTTATGACGGTACAGTGTCCCGGGTCATGTGAAGTGACCAAAACCTGCTGCAACCACCCAGCAGACGGGTGGAATAAAAACCAAACACCCCCCCACCCCACCCCCTCTGCCAATCCTCAACAGAAATGCTCACAACAATGAAAACCTCGAACAGGAGAAAGAGTGCCGCTGGGTGGGCAGCAGGTGTCTTGCTCAATTGTGGCTTGGGGGGTATTTTTTTCAGTACCATTGTAACTTCGAACAGTCATTAAGCGAACTGTTGTAAATCGAGGACTATCTGTACTTCATCACTTTTTTCCTTTTTTTGGTCATCAAGTTTTTGACACCTTGTTAGGCGACTGGTGGTACTCGAATATTGCCATATCCTAAAAGTGGTACAATGGGTGAAAAGGTTGAAAAGGCCTGGACTAGATGACCTCCAAGGTCCCTTCCAACTTTATTATTATTATTAGAATGCATTCCTGTTCACAAGTTCAGAACACTCTTAAGACTCCTGGCAATGTTCCAATGTAGCTCTCACGCATGGTAGGAAATTGAGCACGGTGTGATCTGTTCCCTGCTTTATAAGCTGTTTCTTCCAAACTTCCCACTGTACATTTCTTTCAGTGCATTAAATGAATTCTTCTAGCCAGATTTAACTATTTGTATTCCCTCCTGATAAGAGCTTGAAATTATAGTAATCTACAATTTCCTTTGCTAAGCAAGATGTTTTTTAAGTGAGTTGGGTCCAATTTTGTAGCCTTTTTTCTGCCATAGTTTTTAAGCGAATTGCGCAGTTTTAAGGGAATGTGGCTTCCCTCATTGGCTTTGTTTGCTGGAAGGTTAGACTGGGACAGGGATAGGCAACCTTGGCTCTTTTATGACTCCTGGATTTCAACTCCCAGAATTCCTGAGTCAGCCATGCTGAGGGGAAAGGGAGAGGTTTCCAAAATGTGCCATGCTGGCTCAGGAATTCTGGGACTTGAAGTCCGCAAGTCATAAAAGAGCCAAGATTGCCCACCCCTGGACTAGGATCAAATGACCCCAGAATCCTGCAACCTTTGTAAATACATGCCAGTTGCCAAGCACCCAAATTTTAATGACATGATCATGGAAATGCTGTGATGGTCATAAGTGCAAGGACTGGTCATAAGTCACTTTTTTCAGTGCTTTTGTAACATCAAATAATTGCTAAATGAATGGTTGTAACTGGGGAACTAGCTATACAACACCAGTAGTGAGGACGGAAGGCAAAATTTAGGCCAAAAGACAAAACCAAGAAGTATTCAGTAAGCAGGCTGACATATTAAAGTACACCAGGATCTTAAATATGTGAATATTTTCATTAGCCATAAAATTCTTTTTTTTAAAAAAAAACAACAACCATTTTTCCTTTTTCACTGGGAAGAAAAGGGGGAGAATGAACTGATCGACTTAAGCCAAGTTGAAACACAATGCCCACAATAATTCAGAATAGCATTCAACTGCCAGGTTTTTGAATAGCAAATGACAAATAGTGAAAACCCGGAGTATACAGGTCAGTTATGCAGC